GGGAACTCGCCTATTACCGTAGTAACGCGAGCGTTACGTTACCGCCACGTACCGCTGGGGAGGTAGGGGTGATCCATAGCTCAACATGTCACAATGTGTTACCCATGTATTTGCCTGATGATGGCTATTAATAGCCGAAACTAGGCACTGATCTTGATATTAGTTGTGTTGTGACAGTTGTAATAAAGAGGTTGTATGTACAATATTGTCATATGTATCAGTGCATGACTGTAAATGGGTTTTGGACTGACGAGAGGATTTATTGCACACTTATACAACTCATTACTACACTTCACAAATCACAACATGACACACTGTGTCTTCTCAGTCTGTTACAGTCATCACTAGCCGTTGCTTGATTAAGGCTGTTAACAGTGGCTGTTCCTCTGCTTCCATAGTCAAGTCCCATACAGAACTCCTGTCAACTGTCAACTGAACTGGTTCCCAGGCTGACAGCCATTTCACATCAACCTCCTAGTTTTCACAGGCTGACTTCCGACTGACAACTGAAATCTCTAACTCACCCACCAGCTGCTTCATGTCACTTCACTCATCTGAACTGTAGCACCAGTTGTCTTCAAGATAACTCCACAGCATAGACCATGCAGAAAACATAGCCCCTCAATTGTTGAAGAGGTGTGTTTACCACGCCATTGGATATCAACGGTCGTGGCACAGACCACACAGAAAAAAACCGTTCTTATGTTGTTGAAGGCATAACCTAACAAAGGCCACTGTTTACAGAGTCATTGCCTAGCAACGATATATATGCCACAATATTTACCATTGATAACCCAAAGAAGAAGGGTGACTAGTTCGCATGTGTGGGTCTACATGTTTATTTGTGTATTTATTATTTTACAATTTTATTATTTGTTTCTCACAGTTGATGAAGGAATTTGCTGAAAGTGAGCGTTTGGAGCAGCTGACAGCAGAGAAACGTCGCCTTAAAATTCTGGAGTACCGTCGAACAGTGAATGATATGTTAGAGGAACGCCGACGACACCGAGAAGAGGAACTGCAACAGTTGCAGCACATGCATGAGCTTGAAATGGAAGAAGAGAAGGCCAGGTACCTAAATCAATCTTAAATGTAGAGACAGTTACTCATTCAATAGAGAATAGATTTGCTTGAGAAATATATCTGGAATTCTGCATATCCACTTCTAATTGCTTCTTTCTGCATAGATACAATTGTCTCATTAAAATGTATGTTGCTATATAATTGGGATGAGCCGGTCACGGTAGCCAAGCGGTCTAAGGCATGCACTGTCTTCGCTCGCTCGGAAGCCGGGATCGTGGGTTCGAATCCCACTCAGGGCATGGATGTTTTGTGCGTTTTTCTGTGTTTGTCTACAGGT